CCAATGAAATTCAGTCAGCAATAGGCCACTGTCTAGCTGGTGTATTTGCTTACAGCGCTCTGATTGGCTGACGCTTCTGTCGGCGCTTGAAAAGTTGAGCTAGTCCCAACTTCTGCAGCGAGCAACGCCTCTGAAGCGGCGCCGACGGATCCACAATGCCTGACATCACCCATTCAAAGTGAATGGGAAGCGTTGACGCTGACGCCCCGTGTGAATGGGGCGTAAGTGAATGCCTATACAGTATTTCTCTGTGAATGAAGCTCTGGAGCACATGCAGAACAGCTTACCAGAGAAAGAGCTGAAGTCAAGAACAGAAAACAGAGGAGAAGAAGAGATGAACATCACTAAAAAATTATCAAAAAAGCAGCACTACTACACTCGCTAACACTCCAGCTACAAATACTGTACCACTAAACACTGACAACTAAAAATACTGTACACTAGATAAATACAAGAGCAGGGGTTCTCAACTGGTTTGGCCATGGGACCCACATTTTTACATGGTCATCAAGCCGCGACCCAAATTTTTAGGAATCATAATATGATTTTAGGAAATATAATTACTTTGTATTTAATTGTTAACATACACAACTAGTGACAGATAAATTATGAGAAAATCACCAAGACTTACAAATAAACAATATTTTATTGCTGTCATTTATCAAAATGCATCAAATTATAGAAATATTACAGAGTAAAAATGTCAAATACTGTAAACAGTGGTTAGGGGAAGGAAAAGTTAAGCTACCATTAGCTAAACTGAACTGTTTATAAAACATTAACACTGATCTAGTTGAACTGAACAGAAACCAGCAAACTGAAGTAAAATTATTAAAACAATCATAACCATTTTATAATAATCCGCAGTTATTTGCTGTTCTGCTTTTGTGTGGGCTTTCTTGGCCTTTGCTACACGGTGAGCACAGTAAGATGTACTTGTACTTGTTTTGAACATGAAGATGTTCGGCACTTTTGTGATGCCCCCAGCTATTAGAGTCGTCTTAGAAAATAGTCCACTGGTTTTTCCTTGCAACTGGGATGTTTGGTTTCAAAATGTCGTTTTAATTTAGGTTTCATCTCTCTCGTAAAAGCACCTCACTAAATATGACACACTGAGGTTTTAAGTGTTTTTGTCGTCAAAATATGTAAATCCACACTTTACATATTCGGGATCGTACTTGCGCTGGAATTTCACATGTCAAAAGGGTATATGCGGAGCTAACGTTAGTGTTGTTCCCATACTGATAAACTTTCGGTGACCTGTCATTGTGAACTTTTTTTCCATTTTATACGGTTCCTTTTACAGCATCGATGTTGTAATGTCATTAAAATACATTCAGTTAAATAAACTTTGGCATTCATTTAGTTGCTCAAGCGTAAAACGAGAAAAAAAGCTGTTTACTCGCACGCGCCCGTCAGAATCTGTGGGCTAGCGCAGAAGCTCCATTAAATATACTGGGGTAAAATAAATGCTCATATTATAAAGACATGACAGGGGAAATGTAATTTAATGCAGTGCTTCTTGTACAATCTGAGACCCACTTTATATCGCATATCACTCAGCCAGTGGAGATCGCTGATTTTTAAAGAAAACAGACTTTAAACAAGGCGGTTTTTGCATTGCAGTTCGCCAAAAGCGCTTAACCCAGGTTACTGGCAAATTAAAAGTCCCATTAGCATGCTTCGGCACACGCATTTCAAAATAAAAGTCCGATATAAGCAAAATAAGTTAAATATTAAACTTTTGTTGTTTTTTTGATCACACACTCCGCGACCCACTAAAAATGTTCCCGCGACCCAGACCCACCAGTTGAGAAACGACTGCAATAGAGCATAATATTTAAAATAATAGCAAAAGTAAATCCAAGACACTCGAGAAAAAATTACTCTGATAAGGGCTGGGTAATTTGACCCAAAATCTAAATCTTGATTAATTGAACATTTAACTTGATTAATGAACAATTATTTTAATAATTTGTTTAATTTTTTTGCCCTCATAGTTCACTGACAAGTTTCGAACAGTAAATATGCTCACATATTACAAGTGAGAGATTTCTGAATGAAGGGTGCGTTACTTATATACCTGTTAAGTAGCAAATAAATTAGCAAACAGTTCAGCTAATAAAATTAATAGCTATTATAATGAAATAGAATCAAGCTATTAAATCTCATTAGCCGTTTCATCACTGTATAACTTTTTGATTAAAGAGCAGCGAATGAATCTCTTATTTATTTAGATTTTTTTGTTTGATTACATAAATAACAGGTGTCACTTTATAAATGCACACATCTAACATTGAAATGAAAGCATTCGACTGCTTAACTAACTTTTTATACTCATTAAGGACAAAATTAGTTGTGTTTAAAAAAACCCCCACCAATATCGACATCTTTAGATGTTATTATTATTAATTATGTGTATATATCTGTTTAAACACGCACCTAAAACCCAGACTTTTGCTCCGCTTTAAATCGCATGTACAGAATTCGTTAGGGAAACAGCGTCTATTTATTACTATAGAGCACGTCAGCTGACAGTCACGCACCTCTATATGACTGTTTTGAGGATTATATATGAAGGGGTGACGGCACCTGTAATAAAAAAAGGAGGAGAATTGCGCCGTTTTTATATTCATTTCAAAGTGTTTTCATGCCTAAACAAAGCGAAAGCACAGAACAGACTCACAATTAAGAGCAAAGGGGCGGCCCCTGGTGGTTCGGCGATATGGGTTGTGTATAGGGAGGTTGGGCTCTTTAATGTTTATTTGCCACCCTTCAAAGAAATACTGAAAAAACAGGAGGAATACAGGAAAATATCTTTACGGGATGATCGCAGGTTAGAAATATAAAATACGGGAGAATCCCTGGAAAAACAGGAGGGTTGACAGGTATGTACTTGATTTTAAAATAATTGAAGGAAACACATGCTATCTACTATCTATGATTATTTATTGAACATGAACGTTGAACAGCTGAAATTGAAACACACATTGCTTAAAAAGAACAGTCAAAAAATAACTAGGAAAAGTAATTGAAAAATCTGGAAAAATTTGATCGATTATAGATTCTGAATGTCGATTTCGATTACTTTTCGATTAACTACCCAGCCCTGATTCTTATGAATGCCATATTCAAAGAGAACAGACACATTAACTAAGCTACCCCTGAACACTCCTAAGCTTTTGTTTGTTTTGGATGATATTTAAATAATTTGATATGTAAAATAATATAATATATAAAAATTATTTTGAATAAAAGTGCTGCCTCAACAAGAACTGAAATAAAGTGTAAAAATTATTACATTTTAACAAAACCTAATTAAAAAGAAAACCTAATAAAAACTACAAAATAAATAACATTAAAAAATGCTAACATTTTAAAAAGGATTATATAACATGTTATGCCTAATATAAAAACTTAAAATTATATATTCAGTATATTAGGTACATTGCTATGGCAGTTTACAATAGAAGTAATAAACAAAAATTAAAAAGTATTAAAATGATAAAACTTACAAAGAAATTACAAAATAATAATTACAAATTTTAAATAATAATAATAATAATAATAATAAAGTTACAAAAAAATGAAAGTTCTAATAAAATTTAAATAAAACAAAAATGACATGCATAAAATGCATTTTCAAGAAAGTGTAAAATATTTCATCCTAATAAAAGCATTTAGAAACAAAAATGTATGTATATATATATATATATATATATATATATATATATATATATATATATATATATATATATATATAGTTGAAGTCAGAATTATTAGCCCCCCTGTTTATTTTTTTCTGCAATTTCTATTTAACGGAGAGAAGATTTTTTTTTTTTTTTTTTTACACATTTCTAAACATAATAGTTTTAATAACTCATCCCTAATAACTGATTTATTTTATCTTTGCCATGATGATAGTAAATAATATTAGACTAGATATTCTTCAAGACTCTTCTATACAGCTTAAAGTGACATTTAAAGGCTTAACTAGGTTAATTAGGTTAACTTGGCAGGTAAGAGTAATTAGGCAAGTTATTGTATAATGATGGTTTTTCTGTAGACATTCGAAAAAATATAGCTTAAAAGGGGTTTATAATTTTGACCTTAAAATGGCTTTTAAAAAAATTAAAACTGCTTTTATTCAAGCTGAAATAAAACAAATAAGACTTTCTCTAGAAGAAAAAAAAATGTCAGACATACTGTGAAAATTTCCTTGCTCTGTTAAACATCATTTAGGAAATTAAAAAATAAATAAAACATTTTAAAGGGTGACTAATAATTCTGACTTCAACTGTGTGCGTGTGTGTGTATAATGCAAAGGGACTAAGCCGAAAATAAAATAAAATAATGAATATAGTATATAATGACAGAATGACAATATAATAGCATCATAATGCATGTACTGTACACTATTCCAAAGAACACGTCATTTTATTTTTTACAATAAAATAATTTCACTCTTAAGGATATTTCATTTAATTAGTCATTGTAAAAGTTTAATAATCAGACACTGGAATCAGAATGTGAAAACGCATATCCTAAATAAATAATAATAAATGTTAACAAAAAAGTGCAAGGTAAAGACTAACAGAGGCTGTGATATCTGCTACCAGATCTATTTTCAGCTGTCAGACGCACACATGAAAATATACTACAGTATTTTATAGTCAATATTACAGTGTGTTTTTAACCATACTGCCACTGACTCCTCCAATAGAGATAGAGATGTTGCACAATCAGCTAAAATGGTACTATGATTGGTGTTTATGTATGGGCAATGTATATTGCATCATCAAAAATGACTGAGGTCATGTCCATGTGTTGTGGGATAAGTCTATATATTGATTATTGTGACAGGCCTATGGATAGACAAGACATTAATCAAATACAATTTATGGGTGATTTAATAAATAATATAAATAATTCTCCATTATTTCTGCCAGACTTTTAATCTGTTTTTCAGTAATGTTCTCAGTCCAGTCTGATGCTCTTACCAGCTGGATTATATTGGTGACGCTCTGCCAGTTGGCCAGTTTAATGTTGTCTCCTCCATCCACCAGCCCTTGATAACCCTAAAACAAGCACAACACAGCATTAGAGATGACAGAAATACTCACGTGTCCTGCGAACACACATTTAGCATTTGAAAGGCTTTCATCAGTGTTTTTGAATACCTCGTACACCAGATAGACCTTGGCGCCTACATAGATGCCCATTCGTGTCACAGCGCGGATGGCTGCGTTCATACCTGAATAAACACACATGATAGTCTGTATTTAGATGCTTCTGTAAATCTGTCAATGAATGATGTCGACAGTTTACGCTTTCAATAACTGCTGTTTCTCATAATATTGGTCAAAACAATATCAGGATACTTCATGCTTAAAAAAACCTTAATAATAATAATAATAATAATTATTATTATTATTATTAATATTTTAATATTGGTGCTTTTTTATCATTTTATTTCATTTGGTCTATCATTCTTTTGTCTAAAAATTAAATAAGGTGATTAATTAGCCTGACATGAGTTTTATTTTATTATTCTATACTATACAAAACTAAATTGTCATACTTCATCCTTAAACAACATTAGCGCTATTATAGTGTTTTTATTTCTATTTTATAATTGATAATAGTTCATAATTTATAAAATATTACAATAATAGGTGACTGAGTGGCACAGTAGGTAGTGCTGTCGCCTTACAGCAAGAAGGTCGCTCGTTTGAGTCTCAGCTGGATCAGCTTCTGTGTGGAGTTTGCATGTTCTCCCTGCGTTCGCGTGGGTTTCCTTCGGGTGCTCCGGTTTCCCCCACATGCCAAAGAAATGCTGTACAGGTGAATTGGGTAGGCTGAATTGTCTGTAGTGTATGAGTTTGAATGAGTGTGTGTGGATGTCTCCCAGAGATGGGTTGCGGCTGGCAGAGCATTCACTGTGTAAAAACGTGATGGATAAGTTGGCGGTTCATTCCGCGGTGGCAACCCTGGATTATTCAAGGGACCAAGCCGAAAATGAATGAATGAATTATAACAATACTTTATAATAGTTTATACTTATGTTATTTATACTATATTAGTTTTTCTGTTTCTAAAATTCAAATGAAAATAAGGTAATTAATCAGCCGGGCATGTGTTTTGTGTTATTAGTTTTATTTTTTCCTATATCATTATCATTATTATAGTTAAGTTCATTATAGTTTTGATTAATGATATTTCATCTAATAATCTATTTTTTTCGTCTATTTAATTTTTTCCACTCTTGTTTAAGGTGTTGTTTCTGTCATTTTTTATTTTTACTTTTGTTTATATTTTATATATAGAAAAAGAATTCAATTGAATTTTTAGTTCATTTAAGTATATCAAGTTCAACTACAGAAACTAAAAATAAAATAGTCATGTGTATATCATTTATCAAATAAAAAGGTATGTATGCTTGTATTTGTAAAATTTATATTATAATATGTATATTTTAATTAGGGGTGACATGTTGGCTCAGTGGTTAACACTGTGGCCTCACAGAAAGAAGGCTGCTGGTTCGAGTCCTAGCTGGGTCAGTTTGCATTTCTGTGTGGAGTTTGCATGTTCTCCCCATGTTGGCGTGGGTCTTCTCTGGGTGCTTCCGGTTTCCACAGTACAAACACATGCGCTATAGGGGAATTGAATTAGCTAAATTGTCTGTAGTGCATGAGTGTGAATGAGAGTGCATGGGTGTTTTCCTGTACTGGGTTGTGGCTAGAAGGGCATCCGCTGTGTAAAACATATGCTGGATAAGTTGGCGGTTCATTTCGCTGTGGCGACCTCTGAAGAATAAAAGGACTGAGCCGAAGGAAAATTTATATTTTAGTTAATAAAAACAGTACTTGATGTTTAAATCATGTCATACAAATGTAAAAAACAATTATTGGTCACACTTTACAATAAGGTTCATTAGTTATTGTATATAATGCATTTACTAACATGAACAAACAATAAACAATACATTTACTTCTGTATTTGTTCATGTTAGTAAACGTTAGTTAATGAAAATACAGTAGTTCATTGTTAGTTCATTAACTAATGTTAACAAGCATGGACTTGGATGTTAATAATGCATTAGTAAATGTTCAATTATGATTAATAAATGCTGTACATGTGTTGTTCATGATTAGTTCATGTTAGTAAATGCATTAACTAATGTACCTTATTGTAAAGTGTTACCCAATTATTAAAAGTAGATTTATTAATGTATATTAAAATATGTATATTCGAACAGGTATATAATATAGTGCATTCCATATTTCATATTATCAATCATTATACTTATCATATAATGATATGATTTTTTTTTTCTATTGATTGGCTTTAGTTTAGCTAGCTTTAATAACCCAGAATATAGACCTATATCAGAATATATAAATTATATATATATATATATATATATATATATATATATATATATATATATATATATATATATATATATATATATATATACAGTTGAAGTCAGAATTATTAGCCCCCCTGTTTATTTTTTCCCCCAATTTCTTTAACGGAGAGATTTTTTTACACATTGCTTAAAATAATAGTTTTAATAACTCATCTCTAATAACTGATTTATTTTATCTTTGTCATGATGACAGTAAATAATATTTAACTAGATATTCTTCAAGACACTTCTATACAGCTTAAAGTGACATTTAAAGGCTTAACTAGGTTCATTAGGTTGACGGTAAGAGTAATTAGGCAAGTTATTGTATAATGATGGTTTGTTCGGTAGACTATCGAAAGAAATATTTAGCTTAAAGGGGCTAATAATATTGACCTTAAAATGGTGTTTAAAAACTAAAAACTGCTTTAATTCTAGCCGAAATAAAACAAATAAGACTTTCCCCCAGAAGAAAAAATATTATCAGACATACTGTGAAAATGTCCTTGCTCTGTTAAGCATCATTTAAGGATATATTTAGGATAAAATTCAAAGGGGGCTAATAATTCTGACTATGTATGTGTCTGTGTGTGAGTGTGTGTGTGTATATATATATATATATATATATATATATATATATATATATATATATGAATAATACTGAGTATAAATTAAAGGGTATTACATTTTACATTAACAATAATATGAACATTACTCAGTATAATTACTGTTTTTACATTACTGTGATGGTTGGGTTTAGGGTTGCTATAGGGGTAAATGTTAATAAAATACAATGAGTGGCTAATGTAATACATAACATGAATAACACTCTGTATAATTACTGTTATGGACAGGGGTAGGGGTTCGCTCTAATAAAATACAATTTAATAGGTAATTTAATAAATAACACTCAGTTTATATACTGTTTTTACAACAGCTGATCTGAAATCAGCTACTGACATATTTACATAAATCTAGATTTTCCGAATAATAAATACTGTATTTGATTTCAGGCTAATCATTGACCACCAGTGAAGACCGTTGAAATAAACGTTGACATAAACGATGAAGAAAATCTAACGTTACAGCATCTGAAAGACAGTCTCTGTACACATATATATCAGTCACATCAAACTATATACATCTCCCACATATATTATAGTCCTTAGGTAAATGAATACACAAGTCTGTGGGATGTGTAAATGTGTATATAACTTATGTGTGTGTGTGGTGGTCGTGTGGAGGCCCAGCATCACCTTGCGCGTCTCCTCCGCTCGTTAACGCGGCGATGGCTCTTCCCGCGCCGGTCATCCGCAGCTTCTCCAGCCCGGCTGAACTCATCCTGATTAACCTTCAGAAATCCCGCTGCAACCTAAAGACACTGTACGGTAACCGGGCCGCTGTCAATGACTCGTTGGAGAGGATCGGTTCAGCGCGTCTCCTCCTCCTCAGATTGACCTTCTTCGCGCACACGGAAGAACGCGCCCGCCGCTGATGCGTTCTGCGTGCGCGCTCTTCAGTGCGTGCGCGCGCGAGTCTCAAGTACATTTCCTCAAGAAACAAACATTCAGCATAGAGAAAACGATGATGTTTTGATGTATATGGTGTTTTGGTAATACAATACGAACACATTATTAGATAATATATCACGTTTAAATCTGACTAATATTCACGTTTCTTTTTGAGGCGCAAATTATTGGGTTCTGGCTAAAAAGGGGGCGGCCATTTAAAGGGACAGTTCACTATAAATCAAGAAAATCTCTGACTCTCATGCTTTCTAAGACATTTTCCTTCAGTTTAGTTTTTTCCGTTCAGCTGAAACCGTGGTCTGTGTTGATTCACCACACATGAAGACATACTATAGTAACTGAGTAGTGTTTTTAAACCAGTGGTTCTTTTTTCATCAAGTAGCACCTCAGAAAAAAATAGTCTGTCAAAGTACCACCGTAATATCCAGTAATCGGTTGCTTACTTGTTAAATCAGCCCATGACTAGTGAAGTGATAATGTGTATAAATATTTCAGCGTACATACAGTTTAAATGACATACATATTACATAATTCACTACAGTAAACCATGGTGCGTTGTAGTATAACACACACAGAGTTGTAGAAAATGTGTATTAGTACAGTTTTGGATCATTTGATTACATTATTTAAACTCTATGTATCTTTACATCAGGATGGGAGCCCAGTCAAAACCAGCTTTGTCCAGCTTAAACCAGGCTGGTCAAGCTTGTTTTAGCTAGATTTAGCTGGTCATTTTCCAGCCAGACCAGCTAAAACCATGCTGGAAATGTCTGAAAACCAGCCTGAAAATGGCCAAAATCCATCTAAAACCAGGCTGGTCAACCAGCTAAAACCAGCCTAGGCTGGTTTAAGCTGGATTTTTCAGCAGGGAGTAATTTTTGTTTGCATGTGCTTGTTGTCTCAGGATACTACTTGCCCAATTTAATTGCCGCTGCTGGGATTAATAATGTTGTTCAAACTTAAACTAATTCTAACCATATAAACTATATAATTACCTTAACAACACATGCTTTACACTACTGTCTTCAAAACACATCAGTATAACTATAGATTACTATAGTGTTTCTTCATGTGGGACATAATGTCAATGCCTGCCTGTTCTCTGATAGTAAAACAGAAAAACAAAGCATGCAGGCAAAACTAAATGAATACTGATGATACAGCCAGATCTTATGCAGCGAAATGATCAGTCTGTGGAAGAATCTGAACATTATCAACATCATTATTACTTATAATTTGACACTAAAGGAAAACTAAAGGTATTTTCTTCTGTTGTCAATCATACCTGTGCAAACATGTTGTGATCTGGAATTCAGGAGTAACAATGACAGCAGCTTCCACTCAACATATGGGGAATTTGCTTGAAAATTTTGCATTAAAGTCATTTTCTTGAACTACTTTAGTGCAATAAATAATTTTTATTACTTGCTAGTGCTACTATGTATGTGGTTAGTCAGACAGCTCTTCTTTGGGCAAAATAAATGAATAAATAAATAAAAATAATAAATAAATACTTTTTGTTTAGTTATTTTTGCCTAAAGAAAAGTTGTGTGTTTGTGTGTGTGTGTGTGTATATATATATATATATATATATATATATATATATATATATATATATATATATATATATATATATATTATGGTAGCATACTCATTGGCCATTTTATTAGGTACACCTGTCCAACTGCTCGATAACGCACATTTATAATCAGCCAATCACATGGCTGCAACTCAATGCATTTAGGCATGTAGACATGGTCAAGACGATCTGCTGCAGTTCAAAGCGAGCATCAGAATTGATAAAGAAAGGTGATTTAACAGACTTTGAACGTGGCATGGTTGTTGGTGCCAGACGGGCTGCTCTGAGTATTTCAGAAACTGCTAATCTACTGAGATTTTTACGCACAACCATCTCTAGGGTTTACAGAGAATGATCTGAAAAACAGAAAATATCCAGTGAGCGGCAGTTCTGTGGGTGCAAATACCTTGTTGAGGCCAGAGGTCAGAGGAGAATGGCCAGACTGGTTCCAGCAGATAGAAAGGCAACAGTAACACAAATAAGCACTCGTTACAACCGAGGTCTGCAGAAGAGTATCTCTGAACACACAACACGTCCAACCTTGAGGCGGATGGGCTACAGCAGCAGAAGACCACACCGGGTGCCGCTCCTGTCAGGTAAGAACAGGAAACTGAGGCTACAATTCACACAGGCTCACCAAAACTGGACAATAGAAGATTGGAGAAACGTTGCCTGCTCTGAGTCTCCATTTCTGCTGCCACATTCGGATGGTCGGCTCAGAATTTGGCATCAACAACATGAAAGCATGGATCCATCCTGCCCTTTATCAACGGTTCAGGCTGCTGGTGGTGGTGTAATGGTGTGGGGGATATTTTCTTTGCACACTTTGGGTCCATTAGTACCAATTGAGCATCGTGTCAACGCCACAGACTACCTGAGTTTTGTTGCTGACCATGTCCATCTCTTTATGACCACAGTGTACTCATCTTCTGATGGCTACTTCCAGCAGGATAACGCTCCATGTCATAAAGCGTGAATCATCTCAGACTGGTTTCTAGAACATGACAATGAGTTCACTGTACTCAAATGGCCTCCACAGTCACCAGATGTTAATCCAATAGAGCTCCTTTGGGATGTGGTGGAATGGGAGACTCACATAATGGATGTGCAGCAGACAAATCTGCAGCAACTGCGTGAGAAATCTCTGAGGTATATTTCCAGTATCTTGTTGAATCTATGCCATGAAAGATTAAGGCAGTTCTGAAGGCAAAAGGGGCTCCAACCCGGTACTAGTAAGATGTACCTAATAAAGTGGCCAGTTAGTACCTGTTCAAAACCAAAATACAAAATTGTAGGTTTAACAGTAGGCAGTTTGTGCTTGTTGGTCTAGAAATGTCTGTGTGTCAGTCTTTGCACTGCATTTAATAAAACTTTAATGCTTTAAAATGTATCAACTCTTTAAAACTCACCGCAACTGCCTGAATGACCTTTTGTCCATAGATTATTATTAAAACTAAAAACTAAATTCACAAGGATGATGTCAGGAACACAGTTTAACCAAATAAATTGCTAAAAATATATTTATGAAGAGTGCAAGATAAAGGGTTAAATAATAATCACTGGCGACATGGTGGTGCAGTGGTTAGCACTATTACCTCATAGCAAGAAGGTCGTTGGTTTGAGTCCCGGCTGGGTCAGTTGGTGTTTCTGTAAGGAGTTTGCATGTTCTCCCCATGTTAGTGTGGGTTTCCTCTGGGTGCTCCGGTTTCCCCCACAGTCCAAACACATGCGCTATAGGGGAATTAAAGAAACTAAATTGGCCGTAGTGTACGAGTGTGTGTGTGTGTGTGATTGTGAGAGTGTATGGGTTTTTCCCAGTACTGGCTTGTGGCTGGAAGGGTATTCAATGTGTAAAACATATGCTGGATAAGTTGACAGTTCATTCCGCTGTGGAGACCCCTGATAAATAAGGGACAAATCCGAAGGAAATTGAATAAGCACTGTATAAAACCCCTAAATTTGTTAATAGTTTGTGTAAGTAAACATGCAACACTGGTAGCCTCTAAATCATAGGTGTCAAACTCAGTTCCAAAAGGGCCGCAGCTCTGAACAGTTTAGTTCCAACCCTAATTAAACACACCTGATCAAACTAATTGAGTTCTTCAGGCTTGTTTGAAACCTACAGGTACTGTAAGTGTGTTGGAGCAGGGTTGGAACTAAACTGTGCAGGGCTTCGGCCCTCCAAGAACTGAGTTTGACACCCCTGCTCTACATGATTCTAAAGACTCCATCCTCTATCAATTGGTAATGCAATAAACCTGGTGAACTTTGAACAGGCAACTCTGTGATACGCTATCTGGCAAGTTCTACTTCACACACAGCAGAAGTGCAGAGACCTGAAATACTGTATTTATGGCTATGATGGGCAATAAAGTCTTAAAGAACAGGTCATACGGGCTTTGGGAAAAATATCTGATCTGTCGTTTCAATGTAAACCGTCAATAAAGTTCTGAACACAAAAAACTAATGAGGCAGTCATTTTGACGGGTTACACACATTGTAATACCCAGGTGTCAAACTCAGTTCCAAAAGGGCCGCAGCTCTGCACAGTTTAGTTCCAACCCTAATTAAACACACCTGATCAAACTTAATTGATTCCTTCAGGCTTGTTTGAAACCTACAGGTAAGTGTGTTGGAGCAGGGTTGGAACTAAACTGTGCAGGGCTTCAGCCCTCCAGGAATTGCGTTTGACACCCCTGTTGTAATATATTCATTCATTTATTTTCCATCAGCTCAGTCCCTTTATTAATCAGGGGTCGCCACAGCAGAATGAACTGCCAACTATTCTAGGATATGTGTTACGCTGCAGATGCCCTTCCTGTCGCAAAACCCATACAAATTTATTCATACACTCATACACTACGACCAATTTAGTTAATCAATTCTTCTATAGTGCATGTGTTTGGACTCTGGGGGAAACCGACGCCAACACGGGGAGAACATGCAAACTCCACACAGAAATGCCAACTGACCCAGCCGGGACTCGAACCAGTGACCTTCTTGCTGTTAGGCGACAGGGCTACTGAGCCACCGTACCATTTAAAATCATTTAATAATATAATAATGACATTTAATTATATATTTAAATCTTTAGCCTGTTACTGAACTACATCAACATGATCAAAGGGGAGGGGCTTAGATCCTGAACTGATTCAAATGAATCATATTGAAATCAATGCAACATGATTCTAATAATAAACACATATTCTGAGAAAATGACAATGTTTGCTGATCTTACATGCATTTTAACCTGTCATAGGAGACAACTGCTCTTAGTTGAAGTCAAAATTCATAATATGTATGCTAAACTTAATAGTTTTAATAACTGATTTCTCTAATCGTTGGCACGATGACAGTACATCCACTCACTGGCCACTTTAATAGGTACA